CGCTGGGCGGCGGCGGGCGCACAGCCGTCGGGGGGCAACCGCCACTTCCGAGGGCACGTCCGCATCCTCACCTTTGAGGTCTGGGATATGCGCCCGGGGGCCACTCGCGCGGCTCCCCTTCCCGCCAGCACCTCCTCGGGACAGAGCCCGTAGGCATTGAGGCCTTTCTGTGTCCACTAGCGGCCAGGCGGCCTCTGTGTTTAGTCTTCCCGGACCCCTCGTGGGCTCCAAACCTCCATAGCCATTAACCTTCTCGAGGCCCAGTCTCTCCACGGTGAACACCTAAAAGAAGGAGGCCTTTGTTGAAACACTGGGTCTTGAAGGGCCTCCTTTGCTCATATGGGAAGCAGAACAGAGTTCTGCACAGGGTGAGAATATGGTGAAGGTCAAGGTAGTAAGGAACAGGTCAAAGCAAAGTAAACTTAGAACATTTATACCAACCAAGAGAAAGTGAACGGGATACCTGGAGTAGAAGTTTGGCCTTAAGGAGATGTGTGGTCTTCCACCCACTGACACACCTAAGTAATCTTAGAAGAAGTGTTCTGACAATCAGTCATATTTTAGGTTCTGGAGTAATGTGTAGAATGACAGGCATTGTTTTTATGTCTTAAGAGTGAAAATATAATAACATATTCTGTTGTTTACCAGATATTGTCCCTATGTACAGTGACTTGGTCAAACAACTCTTTCATTGTAGCTGCTTAGAGCTGATGCTTAAGGTGTCATGGGGAGACAAACTTAAGACAAACATAAAGGCACGATTTTCTTTACCATTGTCAAGTTGTAGTGAAAAAGGATTTTAGAATGCTGACATTTACAGGCTTTGAATTTTTCACTGTTGGCTCTGATCTTTAAGTTTTCAAAACAAAAAACTTTTGTAAGTTTGTATTTACTCAAAGTTTAAAAAAAAAAGTGTGATAGAAAATTATTTTATAAACTTAATTTCTGCTGCTCTTCCCCCTCTTCCAGGAAGGTGAGGGTGGCAGTATTCCCTTTCGCTGCTTAAAGAGTCATGAAGCAGCAGGCCAAGAAAGCAACAGGCCATAATAACGAGAATTCATTCTTTACCTACAACTAGGAGAGTAATAGAAACATTTTCATCCTGTTGACACTTTTCACATAAAGGTGTCTGGGTTGCTTTTCAGTTACGGAAAAATTTTAAATATACACATAAAAGTAATACTATGTTCAATTTAACCTAGGCCCAGGGTTATGAATGAGACAGTTCTTTGTTCATGTGGAATTTAGAAGATAAGGGATTAGGTTAGAGTTCTAGTAACAAGTTGGAAAAATAGCAGTGGCCTAGGAATGTTCCAAAGGAATTCTAAAGGAATATTAAGCCACTTCCGAATGATGGTCATTGATTTTGGTGGGGAACTGAATGGGGAAAGGCAGTGGAGACAATACCGTGGCATACCTTTGGCAGAATCTCTGACATGGATGTTTGTTTTTCAGATTGTGTATCTGGTGGGCATAAGGAGGAAAGACTGGAAAATGTGTTCTTGGGAAAAATAGGATAGCCACTTCAGAGAAAGAACATACATGCATACGAACGTAAAAACCAACTTGCTCACTTTTTTCTCGTCTCTGATTTTCTTTTTTCCCTCATCTATCTTAAAGCCATTTGTTATAAGAATAGAGTCCATTTTAGTTAAAGAAATACAGGGGCTATCTAGGATCTGATTTGCTTCACGTATAGCTTGGTTGGTCAGCATTTTAAAGATTATCTGTTGAAAAAGATAAATTCATACTTTTTCAGTATAGATAATATATCAATCCATACAAACCTAAGTTATTGTAGTTTTCCTGCATTTGCTGTTGTTTACCATTCTGCCTGTTGGTATGTGGTGAAGGTGTATCAAGTGTGGATTGTCTACACCACAGACTTGGTTCACTAGGGAATTTTGTTAACTGGTTTGGGTGAAATGTAATTCTAAGTTCAAAAATACAGGTCCAACTTTGTTTTGCTTTAATTCCATGTTCTAAGTCCTTGACTCTTCTATTTTTTCCTCACCTAATTTTTATTCTGCTTGAATCTTGCCTTGGTTCTGTGCCCGGCTGTGTTGCTGCTTTGTAGCTTCCATTTTGTTTGCTGCGTTCTGCTGCAGCTTGTGGTTTGAATACTTGTCTCTAAGTAGAATCCTCTGCTTTAGCACCGAGTTTTCTCTTCTCTAGATCCATTGAGCCAGCTGTCTTGTTCACCTTTTGAAAATGTACTTTGTAAGAAATGTGAGGATCGTGTGTTTTTCCTTTTTTGTTTGTCCGCTCTTGTTATTTTGTTTTTAGTGGCAATTTATTTTATGATATTTGTTAAAATTCTCTAAGTAACAAGTCTGAGCAATAGATACTCTGCTTCTGCCTGGGGATAACAGGCTCTCAAGAGGCAACTATTTTTTTAAGCAAGAGGCAAATTCTTTCTTGGGGATTGATTAGCTCAGATCGCCTTTCGTAAAAGGAATAGAATTTTTAAGAACAGAAATTCAGCCTGCCTTAGGTTCCTAGGATTCTGGATTTAAACTTTGCCAAATATATCTTAGATGTTCTGAAGACATGCAGGTGATGTTCTGTAAAGTTGATCAGCATAAAACCCTATGAAGTAACTCTTAACAAAAGAATAAGTAAGAGATGAGCCTGTTTTAGTTATTTATTTTTAAAAAACAAACTAATCAAAAGGAATGGTCTTCTGATTCTAACAGTGGCCTTACGTTAGCAGCACCTGAAATATATAAATATTTGACCATCACTCAGTTTACCATAATAGAAGTGGAATTTATACTTTAATTCAGATCTAAATGAGAATTTGAGAAATGAAAGTAGAGTTCTTTAATTATCTGCTTAAGTTTTGACAGTCTGAAAATTCCTCAACAGCTTAACCCTGAAGAGAGTAGAAGAAGAAATAGTAAGCTATCACACACAATAGCAGTATCATGTTTTAGCATGTGAAGCATCCAAGGGAAAATCAAGTGGCAGGTAGCTGGGACCTCAGAAATACCTATTGTGAAGAGCAAACAATGTTTCTTTAGGTCTTAAGACAAAGAATCATCAGTGTTAGTTCAAAGTGTGTATATATGTGGAATTGCTAGTCAGGTAGCGTAAAAATTGTTTTTGTGTTTCAAAGGAAAAGTAGTTTTTAAGATTAAATGGATTTATCATTTAAATACACTTAATCTTCTGAACTAAGATTTTTTTTCCCATTAGATTTAGAGCTCTTAGTTTCCAGGCTCCTGAATTGTTTATGTATACAAGTATGTAGTATTTGTTTATTTTTAGTATTAATGATTTATTCTTTATTAAATTTTATTTTAAGAGTTTATTTGAGCAAAAATCAGTTAGAATCAGCAGCGCCAAACCAGAAGTGGTTAAGAGCACTCCCTAATGCTTTATTCTTTAGAGGAAGTTAAACACTATAGAAACATTAGAGTGAAAGATCTATACCATGTTGAATGGTTTTACAGTTTAAGTACTTGGAAAAGTAGGTATTTGAGTGCCATCTTTAACAGATGAGTAGCACATAAATTAGACTTTCCCTCTGTTTTATAGATGAGTTTAATAAAACAAACTGAAAGGAATTTGAGAACCACATAATTTAATACATAAAGCCCTCCTGACGAATAAGTCAGGCTAGCTTTATTTATGTTCAAGAACTATAGTCTACAACTTTCAAAGTTCAGGGAAAAAAACTCAAAAAATGTAGAAGGTTTTATATTCATATTACAAGATCTTTAAGTTGCTAGTCCAACGTAAAGAAATTAAAACTGAAATTCCTGTATATGATCTGTTATGGGTGCAATTTATGCAAGAGAGATGATGTGGAATTCCGTCAGTGGATTCGTATTCACAAAAGGTTTGGCCCTATGCCCAAAGACTGTTGATTAAATGTAAATTTTGATGTTTGAGTGATAAATCTGAAAAAGAAAAGAATCATAGTCTTTAAAATAAGTTCAGCTTGCGACATTTATATCTTCCTTTTCCTCATTGCATAGTACTGCCCTTTCTCTTCCTCATCTCCACTTTTTAATTTCTTTCTACCTTGCTAGGTAAGAAAAAGCAAATACAGGAATCTCTTGGCCTGAGTACGTGGATGTTTAACAAACTCTCCAGGTGATTCGAATGTAAATTAATGTTTGAGAACCATTGATATCTAGGAAGGGACAGGACTAGAGATACTCTGAAGGAAAAAAAGACCACGGAAAATGATTGATTGAGTAAAGGAATGAAAAAGAGTACTGAGTCAGAGTTTTCAAGCCTGACTTTTCTGCAAAGATTATTATTAAAATAAAAAAACTGGAAAGAGAACAAAGAATATTAAATTTCTTTTTTGTTTCTGTTACAGTTTTTATTTCTTCCATACGTAATTATATTATGTACATGGTTGAGTGCTTATTTTTGTACCTATTCATAAGGTTCCTAAATGATTTGAAAGACTGAATGGAATTTCTAAAAATTCTAGGAAGTAGCTTACGCATTGGAAAAATCTGGGTCAGTCAATTGGGTGAAAGGTAAGGTGACATTTAGCATTTGATTTAATGTTAGAGTTTAGCCACTTTGTCTCGTAGGACAGTTGTATAGAGAACCCAACAAAATTTGATTCCTTTTTCAGCATTGTATGTATAATCTCATATTCTGGATTCTGAATTTGTTTTTACCAATACATTTCTGTTGTGTTAAAAATGGCTGAGAAGTCAGCACATTCACAGTTGAAGAACAGTGTGTATTTTGTGACTTTTGGTTTACTACGTCAGGTGGTGTAATATAAAATTGGTAAATGTGCTCTTCCTCTTTTATGCAGGACCAGTGGCTGTAGGACAATTCCACCGGTCGTTCCGGCAAGATAGTTTGTCTCCTTACTCCTACGTATCAACTTCATCCCACAACCACAGTACTTTCCCTCTGAAAGGTTTAGATCGGACCCCGATTCCTCCGAGAACATGGCAGAACTCTCTTGGAATGCACTCAGGACAAGTGGAAACGTCTCCCACTTTTTCAGATAAAGGGGTTCCATTTTCTGTACTGCAGAGGTTTCCCACTGAGGTCACCTATACCCTGCAGCCCAGTGCCACATCCGTACATGTTCAGCAAGGTCCTCAAACAATGGTCAGCTCCTCCCAAAAATATACTAACTACACACCCTCCGCGCAGTACTCCCAAGCCTACTATCCAACAGGTATGAGAGATTCAAGTTCAGTGGCTTCTCTTAAGATACTTTATAATGAACATTTATATATATATTTAATGCATTTCTGTATGCCTAAACAAAGATAGGAAATATTCACCTAAGAAATATGAATGATTTCTCATGAGTATATTTTTTTTAGCAACATAAAAGATTTCCTTAACGTTCTTAAAGGTTGTAAAATTCTGTTGGTGCATAAAGGTGTATTTTTTTAGTGAAACTTTTGTATCCTCAAAGTGTGTCCTGGTAATAAAATTAAAACTCAGTACACCAGACCTTGCTCTAGCTCTGCTCTTGGTGTAGCAGGTTTTTGGTTTTCAAAAAAGTATTTTTGTACATATTATGTATTTTCTATTTTTTAATTTTATAGGTGAGATTACCTCATAATGAAATCACTTTAGTATCTCAGTAAGGAAATTTAATGAAAGAGAATAGTCACCATCTCCTAAAACTTAAGTTATATTCTTTTAGTAAAAATGTGATGGTGTGGTTTGACAGTGCAGTCCCTGCTGTGTTAATCCCAGCCAGTGAAGAACTGGGAATCTCAGAGAGAAGACCCTGACAGTGACAGCTGACCTAGAGCTCAGCCAAGGGCATTGAAGGTCTGCTGGTAGATCTCAAGTCACTAACTGGGAATCCTTGTGATAGTGACCATCTGTTTAGCTTCTTGTGGCTGAAGGATGTCTTTTTTGTGGGGGAGGGTGCATTTTTGCAAAATAATAGCATTCCCATTTCGTTCAAACATGTTTTCTGTTTTGCAGAAACACCATAGAGGTGGTGTGTGTTTTCAGGTAGCATGCTTTACACAAAGTGATGAAGTAGGTCAACAGAAACAACTCAAGGGTCAAGGCTTTCAGAAGAGACCAGCAAGAGAGGAAATGGGGCATTCTTTTACCCTGTGAATTAAGACTCCAGACATATTAATTTTCTCAGATAAGTAGATCTGGAAGCAATCTCTAGAAGTTTTATCTTAGACCATTTTTCCCAGGCAGGAGGAAATCAAAAGCTAAAATTAGTGGAAAGAATGTAAATTAGATGAGGGAGTTAAATGATTTGCTGCCTTTTAAAAGTTATAAATTTGGCAACTGTTCCATTTGTAACAGTACTCACTATTTTCTAGCTGATAACATACAACTATATTCTTTTATTATGGCTCATTGCATTCTACCTAAATTTAGCCAGTAAAAAGGGATTGCTTTATTTTCTCAAAGTGTTTAACAATACTAAAACAATAAAACCAATGTGTAAATTAGGTTGGGTTTTATAGATTTTTGGAGCTGCTTCCGTTTTGGTGGGTGGAAATCAGAAGGAAAAGGAGAAGGAATTATATGGAGTAAAAATGATACAGCATTTCTAATCATTAGACTATTAGAGAGTTTAAGAACTTTTAAAAAACTTTTTTACATAGAAAAAGATTGAGGCCTATTTCTTTTTTTTCAGCTATTTCTTTGAAGAACAAAAATATCTGGGTGATCTTAAAAATAGAAGATGATTGATTTCATGTTATAAGTTATATATCTTACGTATAGCAACAAATAGGGTCAGATTTTTACTGAGGAGTTTAATCCAGTATTTTAATAAACAAATTAGGTAATTCTATCTAAATTATAATTTTGGCTGCGTTCCATATGTGCATAGAATATATATATATATGTGTGTGTGTATATAAAGAGTGTACCTTTTCTTACACTTGCTTTACATTCTGTAGCCCATCAACTGGGCAAAACCCCTGCTTCCCCTCTTTTTACCAATAAATGTTTTTCTTTTTCCTAACCTCCCTTCAAACTCCCCTCCTCAAACTATTAGACACAAAAGCTCCTGGGGAGTTGAAATTTAGAAGGACTGCATTAGAGAGATACAGAAACATGCTTGGCCTTCCAATTTGGAATTTTGGAAAGAGTTTCCTATGGACACATTAGATATGTTGGCTAGGTCCTGTATTACTGTTAGTCCCACAGTTAAGGGACAGGTGGTTATAATCTGGCTTGGGAGCCAAACTAGCAGGTATGATGATGTTTCTATGGGAAAACGTATTCCAAGTTACAAACAATCCTCTTGGAAGCTCCTAGCTCTAAATTTTATGAGAACTACTTATATATTATTTACCAGAAAACAGTATAATTAGTTAATATTATTCATTCATTATAGAAATACTCTTTGTTAAATTATGATGATTTAAGATATATGTTATTTAAAAATATTTTATGTTAGCTTAGTTTTAAGTTTATAAATAAATTCATTAATTTAATGATTAAATTGAAATTTGCCTCCCAAGAGCTCAAGGTAAGGACTGGGAATGAGACATTAAAAGAACAAATTAAGTGCTGCTAGTGTTTTGATAGTAGATAATGCACATGAAACAGAATCTTGTATTATCTGAGTTTTTGATTTGTCTTCTTTACTAGGTAAATAAACATAATTATCCCCCTGGGGGGCAGGAAGGGTATAGCTCAAGTGGTAGAGCACGTGCTTAGCATGCATGAGGTCCTGGGTTCAATCCCCAGTACCTCCTCCAAAAATAAATAAACAAATAAACTTTACTAGGGGTAACTAAAATGACTAAAGTTGCTGAGGTCATGAGAATAAGAAATCTCATAATTTCATGCTGACTTCTAATATATAGAGTAGTTCTATGATATAATATAAGCAAGACGGCTTTGAACATTCTGAAGTACTATATAAACAAAAAGTTGTGTTGTTAAATACAAAAGACCTGCTGTAAAAAACAAAGTGCCAAAAAAAAAAATACTGTACAAGTACTTAATTCCTCCAAATTTTAGGCAAAGGAAGTAAAAAGTAGTGAGCAATTTAACCAATATTCAGTGGGTACCTGTTTATGAAGAGCTTTGCAAATGACTTTACCAAAGTTAAATAGAATATTATTCCCAGAGGCAGGATAATAATCACCCCCAGATTCTACTCTCTAAATCCTAATAAAGTAACTGATTTTGGAATAATGAAGCCCTTCCGAGTGAAATATATGAGTCAAGATTTGGATCAAATTTTCGTTAAAAAAAAACAGTACTCCACTTCATTTAAAAATTAGTTATGTTGAAATAAACTTGGATATGGTCTTCAAATAGTATAACCAGTACATTTTGAATTTTGTAATACGTGATAAATTTTTCTCTAGTTAAGCCGAACATTCAAGACTGAAAAACTGCTATTAGACTGACTCATGAATTGGCTCATCTGAATTCTTTCTGACATTTGTCATTCCTCTCTTGAAGCATCTGTTTTCTTTGCCTAGCTTGCTTACATTTTTCCACTCATCACTTCTTCAAAAACAAACTATTGTAGATCCAATATTAGTTGACTCTCTTTAGTCTTACCCTGTCTTGAATTCGATTTTTTCCTCTGATGCTGTTTTCACAGTGTGCTACTGTAATTTATCTTTTTAATAAAAAACTTCATTTTAGACCTTTTCATTTTACTCATTCTCTATATATTTGAACATACATAAGAATATCAATATATTCATATTTGTATTTTGAGGAAATCCTATATTGAGGAATTATTCTTCTTTGACGAATAATGCGGAATTGACTCAAAATCAACTTTGCCTTTTTTTTTCCAAGTTTTAAGCTGAAAGCAGTGATTAGCAATTTGTAGCTGCCCTTTGTCTCATATTTTAAGTAATAAAATTTGTATAGCAATCACTGTGACCAGGTACTATTCTGAGTACTTTCCAAATATTAATTCATTTAAACCTTACAACAACCTTATATGATAGGGAATGTAATTATTCTCATTTTATCGATTAGAAACTGAAGCACGGGTAGGCAGAGGCAGGGCTGGGGAACAAATCCAGGCACACTGTGTTCTGCTGCCTGTCTGCCTGTCTTACAAAGAGGGACTTTTTGTTTCATTTTACTTTTGACAGACTCTTTCCTGATATTTCTCTTCCCCAGAGTTACTTCCAGATAGGGTAGATGACAGAGATGAGTGGAGGGACCTTCCCTTCTATGCTGCTGGTGGCAGTGGGACTGGCCCTGGTCTGTTGACTCAAGATGCTCAAGCAGAGAGAATGTACCCCAGCTGCCAGAGTGGGAGGTCCAGTTTGGGGCCCCCGAGGAGTGGGGCTACCTCTAGTTTATTTCTGTAACCCCTTACACCTAGCATGCTGCTTAGCTATAATGGGCCCTTAGTTAATAATGTATTGAATGAATGAAATAATTCTAGTCTCAGCTTTGCAGTTAATCATCCTATGGACAGTGTGACATCCCGTGGATCATTTCATGCCACTCAGCCTCAATTTCCCCTTCTATACGATGGCAGTAATAGTTTGGGCCAGGGAGTAAGTGAATTAATGTATGTGAATAGACTGTAAAATTTAAAACACTATTTACATATAAAGGATAAAATATTTTAAAAACTGTCTTTCAAATGAGCCTCGATATTGACACTTCAAAGTCTGAATAAAGTGATTTGAAAGGACATACCCTTCCCTCAAGGTACATATGATCTGTTTATTGAAAAATATACATTATATCATTATTTTTTAATTTTTCTAAGTTGACTCAGACAAAAAGGATTGCCTTATTGTTCGAAAGTACATTTAAATTTTAAAGACTTGATCTTTAGGCTTCTAATCCTACGTAGTGTACCTAAACAAAGACTCGAGTTAGAAGAGCCTCTGATGCTGGTAGTATTGTGCTCAGGTAGCCTGTATTGTCAGCTTCTCTGAAAAGGCCTGATTTTGTTCTTATTGAAAGAGGAACTTGGCTCAGATACACCAGGAAGTTCTCTTTAGCTGCAAGGAGACACTAAGCAAAAGCGCAATTACATCTTCCTTTCTTTTTAGTGAGGTAAAACACACACAGCATAGAATTTACCGTTTTAATCACTTTTAAGTGTACAGTCCTGTGGCATTAAATACGTTCCCAGTGTTGTGCTAGCATCACCACCATCCATTCATTTCCAGAACTACTTCATCTTCCTCCACCTGAAACTACCCGTTAAACACTAACTTCACCTTTCCCGCCTCCATCTTCTGGCAGCCACCATTCTATTTTCTGTCTCGAAGAATTTGATAGCTCTAGGGACCTCATTTAAGAGGAATCATTTATTTGTCCCACTTATGATTAGTTTATTTCAAGAGTCACTGATATTGTGGTATGTGTCAAATTTTCTTTCCTTTTTATTGCTGAATAATTTCCCACAAATGTCCATATGAATGTACCACATGTAGTTTATCCGTTCGTCTGTTGGTGGACACTGGGCTCTACCACCTTTTGGCTGTTGTGCGTAGTGCTGCCGTGGACATGGTCGCACACTGATCTGCTCTGCTTTCACTTTGGGGTGTGTGCCTAGAATGCCATTTCTTCACCTCACCATAAGTGAGCTGCTGGGTTTCGAGTTGCTGTAGTAACTCACCTTGAAATAAATTTACTTTTAGTATGTGTTTCCTTTTTTGTATTTATATTGGTTATTTTCTCACTGTTGACACTGTACTATTCTGGAGTAGATTTAGGTCTAAAACATTTTCATTAAGATTTGAACTGTCTCCGTAGGATAAAGTGTATGAACTTGTCCTAACCTGTAGTGGAAGTGAAAATGTTTACCTTTTGATAAAGTTTTAGTAATCTTGGCTTTACTTTATTACTAGAATTGTTTCTAAAAATGTGATCAACTCTTAGATCTGAAATAGAATTCTGTTCATTATTTCCAGTTTTTATTCTACATGCAATTTAATGCCCTTAAGTGAACACTGCCTTCAGGAAGACACTGGAAGATCTTTATGCAGATGAATGTGTCTTAGGACATAGTGATAAACTCAGTTGTGTTAAGTGTTAGTCCTCTCAGAATGCTTTCATAATATAATACACACTAGATTAATTTGTCATGTATTAAGCACACAGTTGCACTTTAATAGCTAGGTTTTCATATTCCGTAAGCTTACTGATACCTTGCTTTGTTCTGTTTTGTTGACTATACGAAGTAGGACTGCACTGGTAAGGAAATAGCCATTGAGAAATCTTTGTGGATTATCTTTTCAAGACCTCCCTTCGTGCAGGTACCTTTCTACTTTCTATTTGTAGCTGGACAGTGAATGTAGAAGGACATTCACTGTTTTGCTGCTGTTTCCTTAGATACCAAATCAGCTGTCAAATATATATTAATATATTCTCTGTTGTATATTCTATTTTATTTCTCCAAGAAATTTATTTTAAAGTACACTTTAACAGCTATTCAAAATGTGTAACCATTATTTCTCCAAGAAATTTATTTTAAAGTACACTTTAACAGCTATTCAAAATGTGTAACCAATAGAGTCAGATCATAGCAGTATCAGAAAAGCTAATACCTTTCATTGCTTTATTTGTAGCAGAACACTTACGGTGCCCTGACGGGTGAAAACCTGCAGCTCCTGACTGAGTCCTTTTCCTGCCACTAGGGGGCTCAGTTTTCCTTAGCTGTTAAAACTCTAGAAAAAGATCCCAGTTTTTTTCACTTTTGACAAATCCTGCAGACCTCTCCTTGGTGTTTTGCTTTTTGGATTTAACTTATTTCCCAGGATATTTATGCTTTCAAATGTCCTGGGAAACCAAATTCAAATTCAAAGCATGTTAATTGTGTATCTGAATAATCTCCAAGGATATTGGAAATGACAACAGCTTGAATTTTATGTGGCCATCCTAGTAATGTCTGGCTTTTTAAACCGGTGGAATTGTTAAAATCATGTAATTCAGAAAACATCAACCCTTGTATTTGTATCTGAACTAGAATTCTGTCTATTATCTTAATTTTTTCCTTCCACATGCAAAATATAATGCCTTAAAGTGCACACAATCTAATAAGAAAATATTTATTTCTAGTATACCTTTATGAACTTCTGATATTTTAAAAATCAGTTGATAATGGAGAAATAGGGAAGCATTTCCATGAATTTCTACAATCCTTAGGCCAATTTACTTTCAAAGATTACAGACTGAGATTATTCAGTAATTCTGTTAGCATACTCAAAGTATGAAAAATGTGGACCGAAAAAGAAAAAGTTGCCACCTTATAATAAAGACACCTTAAATATATTCAGCAAGTGGAGTTCTAGTAAATTTAAAATATTACATTTTAGGAAGAAGGGAAAATTAGGGAAGTATTATGATATATTAGAGAGCATGTGCTTTGGAGTTTGACTATTGCTTCTGATACTACCAGCTTTGTGACTTTCAGCAAAATTTTTTTAATCATCTCTGAGCTTTAGTTTCCTTATTTTTGTAAAGTAATGTTAATACGTCATTCAGTTGTTGTTTGGATTAAATAAGGCAATGTATGTAGAGCACTTGGGACTGTGCCTGGACCGTGGTGGGTGCTCAGTAAGTGTCATCCTCTGTTTAATCCAAAGGTGTGATGTTATAACTGATTCTCATTCATTCTGGAGAGTCTCTCTCTGGAAAATGGGAGGCTCAACCTATTATTAAGACTGCATCTGTAAGTATGACTGTACCTGTGCAAAGACTTCAATCTATTCATGGTATCCTAATATAAAGTTTGGAAAATATATTTCCTTAGCTAAAATAGTAGCATTGTTAGCTATTTATTTATTGACCGCTTACTGTATGCCAGTGCTCCTTTGAGTGATTTATGCGTATTAACTCATTCGTTCCTCACGACAAACATATTAGGTGGGTATTATTAGCACCCCTCTTCTTACAGGATGCAGAAACTGAGGCCAGCAGAGACTAACCTTGCTCAGATTTATACAGCTATTAATATTTTGGAGCTAGGCTCCAAAACCAGGCATTCTGGCTCTGGGATCTGAATTCCTAACCACTTGTCTAAATGGTTAAAACATTTTTTCAAAGATTTCACTGGATGCATTGTATAATAGTAGAAATGTTTGGAGAGCATTTCATACTTATTTTATCCTTAAAGAAACACACCTTCCTCCAAATGTTTATTACTATTAAAGTGATTGAAATAAATATTTTAAAATTCCAAGTATGTCCTGATATTTTCAACAAAAGGAAATTACTACTTTCAGTAAGAATAAAAAGTTGGTTAGAAAGGCAACAAAATGTTTAAGTGCTAAAGAAATCATTTAGAAGAGCAGACATGACCCTTTTAAATAATATTTAAAATTAGTTTATTACCATTGTTACCAACAAATAATAGCACCTAATTGAAGGAAATATATTCTGTTGCACCCACCACGGAAAGCTTTTGGAATTTTTGTCTCCAAGTTGAGAGAGAGGAGTGGCTGGAGCGCTGTGGGGTTACTTGGGGTGACGTTTCTGTGTGTGGATTTGTTCCAGCCGTGCTGCAGTGCTGCCCTCCCTCCACCCACATGGACGCGCTCAGTAGCTGTGTCACCCCCGCGGCCTCTTCCTACGCACACTGCAGCTACTTCCAGGTGAGAGTCTTGGAACAGTGGACGTCCCCTGGGCCTCGGGTGCAGTACTGTTGACCTTGCAGAATTGCAAAGTGTAACTTTATCTTAATGAGTCACCGGAGGTAAGCTGTGGATCGTGGCCTCAGTTTTTCCCAATTCTAAAAAAAAGGAGTTGATATAAATGATGTCTGGGGATTCTTTTAGGCCTACACTGTCTTCTAGGCCTACCTAGTGTTAGGCACTAGCCACACGTAGCTATTTAAATTTAAGTTAGTTAAACAAGATTTAAAATTCATTCCTCAGTCACACTAGCCACATTTTAAGTGTTCAATAGTTTTGTATGGCTAGTGGCTACCAAATTTTAGAGCATAGGCAGAGAACATTTCCATCATTGCTGAAAGTTAGTTTGAACAGTGCTGTTCTAGGTTCTTCCATAGTAGAATGAATACCAGATAAACTCTAAAAGTATGTGAATCACCAAATGACAGATCCTTCCAAGATGGTATAGATGGTTACTTCTTTTTTAAAGGGGAAAGGAAAAATGATGTCAAAAATGAGAAATTTAAGTGATAGTTTCCTTCAGCCCCAATATTGTAAACACTGGACTTCTGTTACTGTCTCATTATTTATTAGGAGACTATTGCTTTGATTTAAACATTGTAGACGACTGTTTCTAGGATAAGATTAAATCCCATGTTTGTATTTTTATGTTACAGTAAGAGATTTGAATTATGTGCTTGCTTTTGATATCACATAGTCATACCAGCTTCTGTTCTTAAGAGAATGTCTTACTAGTAGTGGCATTCCAGTACTCAAAAGAACATTCCTTTTTTCTTTCCTTTTTCTTTTCTTTTTTTTTAGAAAATATACATGGCAAGTCAAATTATAATCATATTCTTGTCTGAAGAGTATAGAATCAGATCAAGGGGACCTAGCCGGACATTTTTAATGACAGATATCATCAAGCATGTTAGTCCAGGATATTCATCTTCACTAACTATCCCACAAATTAAATGCTCTTGTTTGTAGACCCAGGCATTACCTCCCCTGGGTCATACTGGAGGTACCCTGTCAGTGTTTATATCTGGATTATGTTTATGTTTTAAATTAATCATTTAAAACACCTTTAAAGATGTTTTCTTACGACAAAGACAATACATGTTCATTGTAGGGAAATAGAGATAAGTAGACGTAAAATTTTTAAATGGAAAGAAGGGAAGTATTTTAGATGCCGTTCTGGAAATAAATGCAGTTAGTTTTGTTGGACTGTAGGTACAGTGAGAGTGTGCATGAATGGTCAGTATATTATAATGGTTAAGAGCCACAACTCTTTGAGTCAGACAAACCTAGATTTGAAACCCGGCTGTGCCAGTTGCTTCATTGTGACTTTGGGTAAATTACGAAGTTTCTGTGAACTTCAGTTCCATCATTTGGAAATGGAGATTATCACATTTCATAGACCTCTTGTGAGGATTAAATGAAATAATGTATATAAAGCACTTTGCATGTGCTTGGCACAGTTAGAATTCAATAAATGGTGCTATCACCAATAGTAGAATAGCTTGATGCTTAAACCATCTATATTTATATTATTTGGCATTAGTATCCTTCAGATCATTGACACAATCTTTGTAGTGGTTTTGGTAACATGGACTCACTACATGTCTTATTTAATAGTAACTTTTCTATATTTTACATTTATAACCTGAGATAATCAACAAACACTTATCAAATACCTACTCTGTGCAAAGCTCTGCATTTGGCAATATCAACTCATTACACGTTGTATTTAATCATCACTCTTCAGTATTCTGTGTCCTAGCTTGAGATCATTTATCACCAAACATGTAATTGAATGTCTGTCCTGTGCAAAAGTACTATGTATAAGAGAATACATCTTAAAGTTATCAGTCTAAAAGTGACAGCCTTTTAAAATCTCTTATTTTATTATTAAAAGTAAATAATCTCAGGACCAAAGGACCCTCGATACTCCATCCATTCTTCCCAAATCATTTGGAACAGGATATCTGTACCTCCCCCTGAATCTGTAGAAGCATTGGTGGACTTGTGAGCAGCCTGTGTTTGACGTTTCCTTTCTGCTTTCCGAAAACAGTATATGATAGATACAAGCGTTGCTTCGTCTGTCAACCTCTATGGAAGAATTTGGTATATAGACATTTAACAGCAAATTGGTATTTGGGTACTGTAGTTTTTTTGATTTTGTATACTTTAACCCTGAGAGTTATTGGTCCATTTTAGTGTTAAACTTACGGTGGTTGACATATAATAGTTGCTGAGTAAATGTTAACAATAGAATTGAAGCTACCACTGCTGAAAAACTGGCATTTAAGTTTCCTTAGTGAGCTTTAAGTTTACGTTTAGCACTCATCAGCCTAAATGTTGTTGCTTTCCTCCTTAACCTCATACTTGATTTTCTATCCAAACAGTCCTATTTTCTCTTTTCCCAGAATCCTCCAATGCAATCTTCCTATCCAGTTGAATTTCTGTCTTCTAATTGGCCTTGCAGTGCTACTGATGAAAATAAAAAGACAGAAGTAAACCTAGAGGCTGTTTTTCAAATAGTAGATGAGTTGCGTTCCTCCCCTAAATTGGAGATGGTAAAGGTGGAACCTGTTGAGGATCAGTGCTCAACATCTCAGTCTAACAGAGGCCAACATATCCTAGCTAACTCAAACAGCAGCAATCCATCTTTCACGAGTCAGGCTAGCCAGCTGGAGCCACTCACTCCTGTAGGCTCAGATATTACGTCTTTTGTGGTCGGAACAGAACAAGCAATTACCTGCTCTCTACCACAGTCACCCGAGTACATCTATACCATCCATACAGCTCAGCCTGTTGAAAATACTACAATGCAGGAATCTGCAGCCATCCAGCAAGCTCATGTCAAACTGGAGGAGCAGCTAAGTCATAATCCATCTCCATCTTCAGTAGTATTTGTGCAGGAAGGGCTACCGTTCAGCACACACCAGGTAAGAGGCAAAGAAAAAATCCTGATGAATGTCAAAGGTGCTTAGTGCCTCTTGCTAAAGACTCTTCTAGTGGAGGCTTTGCCTGGATTTCATCTGGGTTTAATAAGTTTATTACGCTTTCCAGAAGGATCACGTCTCAGTAGTTCTGCACAGAAGATTCTGAAAGCAACCTTAACCCTCAGGCATCCTCTCACTATGTTATGGTCTGAAGTCAACCTCTAGAGAGGCAGTCTGATTGAGCACTGTGGTGCAGGACTTATTTTCATGTTAAAAGCATCCTTTGAGTTTTGCTTTCTAACTTAATTTGGATGGACTAGTAGGTGTGCCTGGCTATTCAGAAGGGACGGTTTTTCTCGTAGGTAATATCAGGACTTCCCAAGCCGTTTGTAGCCTGGAGGTAAGGAGATGGCTGGAGGTGTTTTCATACTTTTTTACAGCATCATTGCATTCTAATTTGACTTGGGAGCATACTGTGTTTGAATTTCCTTACTAATATTCTCATTCCTAAAGCAGAATTCTGACTCTAGTTTGAGAGATATGTTCTGAAGGTAGGAACTTAATTCCTTTATTGCTGCTATATTTATAACCAGAAAATGAAAAAAATATTGATTCTAAATAATAAAAGTACATCCAAATTAAAATCACTTTTTGTGATGATTTTTTCCTACTTTAAATTTTTTTTCTTGATCTTAGTCTGATACATGTATTTTTTCATTTTGGATTTTTTTTCTTTAATGGAATTGAAAATATCTCCATTCTTAGAGATTCCCAAGATGACCTTTGGCAGTGTTTCAAAACGTATTCTTTTTTAGCTATAACTTTAGATCCAAATGTCTTAAGGTTTCTATCAACTCATTGTCCTTTTCGAGTCAACTGTTGTGACCCAACATACTATGTATTAAAATATTATAAATTCAATAGATCAAAGATAGGCCCATTATGTTTCAAATATGCCTGTGGAAAGAACATGAAATTCGTCTTTGTTCCTTCATAGTCACATTCAAAATACTAGATTTCATACCTTAACATTGCATTCACACAGTTGCTTTTTCTTTTAAAAAATTTGAGTATCACAGCTTTTGAAAGGTGTGTTTTAAACTTTCAGCTTTATTTCATTACATGGTTTTATTTTAAAATAATTCATAAACAAGTAGAGTATGTTAGAAGTTGATCACCTTGACAAAGGGATTTGACATTTTAAAGAAAACATTTTAAAGAACTCTAGCAGAGACATTCATATATCATAAGCAGGGCAGGTCTAGATTTTATAGGAGCTGAAGCGTATACAATTTAGAGGGTCTCATTAAGACAAAGAATACAAAATTAATAGAATAAAGTGTTCACAGCTTTACTGACATCATTCAACAGGATCATGCCCTATGGCCATTCTGATATCACCAAGATGGAAAATCTGATGGAAGGGATGCCAAAGTGGGAAAAAATAATGGTATTGTAAATTATTGTGTGTGTGAATTTTACCGAAAAAAAAAAAGAAATTCAGCTTCGTGGTAAATCTTCCTCTGATCATAAGTAAATGTTTTAGCTCCATAGACAGTTCAGTGGTTTGTGTATAGGGAAATACACGTCTTGCTACCAAATACTCAGATTAGCTTAACAAAGTCAAAGATGGTATCATTCGTCGGGATGAAAAGCCTTACAGTCGTATTTATTGGATCATGTTTCTATGGTAGAACTCCTCTGGTAGAGTATCTTAACTTTTAGTAGATGTTTGGGGGAAATTCAGAATAATGAGTGGGTTTAACATTTTAGGTGGATGCCAGTACAAAATGCCAGACCAATCCACCTGAGAATATCTTGCCTTCAGAACAGATGGGATTCCTTATTTCAGAAGTGGGGCCTGCTAGCAAGCGTAGTAAAGACGCAGGTTTATCCACTCCAGCCAGATACAGAGGACGAAGAAGCCACTCACAGCAAGCAAAGTCCCCTGGTAAGGATTACCGTGCTCTCAACGCTAGGGGTGGACTCTCAGGGTAGAACTGACGTGTGAGTGACGGTTTTCTGGCCTTCGTTTATTGCTCATAATTATACTGTATCCTTATCACGCTGCTGTTTAATGTAACTAATATGCCTTTTTGCTTAATTATCCTTGTAAGGTATGTAAAAGTTACCTTCCATTATTACATGTAAGAATCTGAGCTTTTGAAAGGAAAACATAGTAACTAAAAGCAAAGGAATTTGGGTTATCTAACTTGGAGAATGTAAGGATGAAGGGCGATTTAGTAACTGCTTCAGATTCCAAAGACTTTGTAATTATAGCAGTATTTCTTATTAACTGACCATAGTACAAGAGGAAATGTGCTAAAATTGTGGCAGGAAAATTAGATGGACATTAAAGACATTGTCCTGAACATATTATAAAGATGCTGTTAAGTATGGTTGTATTAATGGGATTATTTTTCTTGTGGTTTGTAGGAGCCCAATGTTAGTGATTGTTTTAGGCACATACAGTTTATGCTACTCTCCTTAGGGAAATTGGACAGAATCACTTTTTTAGGAAAGTCGTGACATCTAGTAAAACATGTTTCTTACGTAACCTAAAACCAGGTCATCAAAGTCTTCAATGGACAACTTGAATATTCTCCCATTATATGCATGTCAGAGGCATACAATTCAGTGAATTAATCAATAAGGTCACGCAATCATTTTAACCTGTAAAAATTGGAAATGTTGGGATCATCTGTGATAATTTCTCCAAAAGGTAAACTACTAGTGATATGATCAAGATGTTGCTCAGACTCATAGGGTTCTTTCTGCAGAATGCCTTTTTGACTAAAAGCTGTCTAGATCATTCATCTCATTCGTTAAACTTAGCTTGCGCTGTTGCTTTTAGTTAAGTATATGGTCCAATCCATGACCAAGGATTAAGATTTCTTAATACCACTGAAGATGTTCAAAACAATGGCATAGACTTGAAGGCAATTTAGAAAAGGACAGTGATGAATATTTACCTCATACCCATTTTTCTGCCATGTAACAAATTTGATGAAAGTGGTATTGTCATCGTCTTAAAAATCAGGAAACTTAAGCTTGGAGAAGATAAATAACTTGTTCAAGATCACATTAATTAATGTAGCTAATATTCTACTCACAGTCACTCTGTTGATTGTGTACTTTGATGCACAGGCATTTTAAAGTTTGATGTATTCCCATTTGTCTATTTTTGCTTTTGTTACCTGTGATTTTGGTGTCATATCCAAGACATCATTGCCAAGTCCAGTGTCATGAAGTTTTTTCCACTATGTTTTCTTTCAGGAGTTTTATAGTTTAAAGGTCTTACATTTAAGTCATTTATTCATTTTGAGTTAATGTTTGTAGATGGTGTAAGATAAGCGTCCAACTTCATTCTTTTACATGTGGACATCAGTTTTCCCAGTACCATTTGTTGAAGACACCGTTTTCCACTGAGTAGTCTTGGCGTCCTTGTCTAAGATCATCTGACTATATATATATATATATATATATGAAGGTTTATTTCTGGTCTCCTTACTCTAGTCCATTGGTCTATTTTTCTGTCTTTATGTACCATGTGATCTGTTTAACCATTCAATTCTGCCATTGTAGCATAAAAGCAGCCATAGATAATACATAAATGAATGGTTGTGGCTATGCTCCAGTAGAACTTTATATAAAAAACAAGTGCTGGGCCCAATTTGACCCAGTCATAATTTGCCCACCCCTGAGTTAGACTAACAACTTATTTCTGAAGAGTAACAGTGGAAGCCAGAAAAGAGTAGAATCAAACTTTTAATATACTGAAAGAAATCGGTAGTCCTAGAAATCTCTACCCAGCAAAAAGATCCTTCGATAATGATGGCAGAATGAAGACATTTTCAGGTAAACACAAAATCGAGAGCATGTGCCACAGCAGATAAGCACTAAAGGAAATTCTACAGGGTGTTCTTCAGGCAGAAAGAAACAAGGATACGTACTTCGTTCCCAGGGTAATCACCAACACAATAGAAATAATCCAAAAAAAAAAAAAAAAAGGCAAGCGAGGAGGAAGGAATGAAAAATGAGGAAGACAAAGAGAAAATAAAATAAAATGGTTGACCTAAATTCAACCAATACAATTATTCTATGTAAATGGTCTTAAAATCTCTAATTCAAAGGCAGAGATTGCTGAAGTAGTTAAAAGAGCAAACTCCTTCTATAGGCTGGCTGCAGGAGACACGCAGCTTGAAAGTAAGTAGATGGAAAAAAGTATAACGTGCAAACAGGAAGTGTGAGAAGACTGGGATGGTTATTTTAAAATATCACCTGCTAAAGCTGTTGTCTCCTGTCTGTTCTGTGCCGTTCCAGGTGTGGAGCTGAGCCCCCTTCCTCTGATTTGTCCCCTCCCCCAAACATTTACATCTGGTATTTATTTGTATAGCACACTTTTCTGAAGAGTAGGCAAGGTAGAAAAGGTTTGCATTTCAAACGCTGCAAATAATTTAAAATGGAATGTAAGCTGTCCTTTTCAAGAGGCCTTCAGTCCCTTTACCGTTTTCCACCTTTCCTTTTCACTGGTCAGCGTGGCCTCCTGCCACGTTGTCCTCTGTCCCTGTGCTAGCATTGTACCCTCTCTTCTCTGATATCACCAGGCCCTGCGTTGTGTGTCTTAGGCAGAGAAGGTTAGGTATCTCTTCTGTTTCCTAATGTCTATTTGCCAAACCAAAACAACTTGTGAAGATATATTCCTCAACAAAGACAGCTACCTACCCAGGAGGAACTCTGGTGCCTTCTGTTAAAATAATAATTTCCTCTCTTTCACTACATACGATGGTTATAAGTGTAACTGATAAAATAATTAGCACATTAATTATCTTTTTTAACTCTTCCTTTTTTTTTCCTCTCTAATAAAGCTATGTCCTTTGGTCAGTGATGTTGATAGATGAGTCTTAATTGACCTTGGCTTCCTGCTGTGAAACAGCAGAGTTGTGAAATGTTGGCATTATTATGACATCTAATCACATTTTCATTTTATTAGGGGCAGGGAGCAAATGACTTATGCTTAAACTAGAACCTCTTGGCTGAAAAGCCAGCTTTTGTAATGAAAATGTAAGGAGAAATACAGTTCATGAAGTTGCAAATTATTCCTCCTTAAAATTGGTCTGTGAAAACATGGCTGTATGCAAGGTCCTGTGACATTAAGAGACATTAACCAAAGTGAGTGTAAGGTTTATATTCTATCTGTTACAGGCAGTATGACAGTCAATAGGAAGAAAGCTTTTGGTATTGAAAAACTACAGTAAAATATGGATTCTGCCAGATACTGTGGTAACTTAGACATGTTTACCTAACTTTACTGAGCCTCAGTTTCTTTATCTATAAAAGGAAGATAATAATGACATAAAACATACCACTGGCTTAGTATGGTGCCTGGTACATAATGAGTAGTCAGTTCATGGCAGTAACAAAATTTTAGCAATATTTATACGTACTATTTTGAAGCTTTTTACTGTTAAGTACTTTTCAAATGACTGGTCTCACTTTAAATTTATGTGGGTTCCTAGTGTTGTGAGCAATCCTGTAATATTTCCCTACTCAGTACAGCCCCATTTTCCAAAGCCACTCTATCATTCGTATCTTCTCTCTTCTCCAGTTGACACCTTTCCTTCTCTCTCTTAATTCTCAGCTCTGACCTTATTTCTTATTTGACTGAGAAAACAGAAGCAGCTAGAAGAGAACTTGCCTATCTTTCTACCAACAAATCTGTCAGTCTACCACCTGTGTAACCCTACACTCTGCCTTTCCTCCTGCTCCAGAGGAAAAAGGCCAGTCCTTCCATTTGTGTACAAAATCCCATCCCCTTTTGTGTACTCACCGATTTAGCAGTTACCGTTACCCCGTTGCTCTTCAATAATCACATTTACCTTTTATGTTAGATAATTCCCGTCAACATACATACATGCCAACATAGGTTCTATTAAAAGTAATTCCCCTCGCCTTTCCTTCATACTTTCATCAAGCTGATGCTCCATTTTTCTGTTCCCCTTAGAGAAAAGCTCCTTGAAACCATACCCTTATCTCAGCCAGGTTTTCCAGTTAGGTTTTCATTCTTGCTACTCGACTGGTGGTGCTCTGGTTGAGGTTTCCTGTTTCCACCCTGTTGCCCCAGTTCCCATTTTACTCTGCTTCAGCTGCGTCTGGCTTGTATTGTTTGTTCGTTATTTTACAAGGGGAAGGTAATTAGGTTTCTTCATTGATTTCCGCTTGGAGAAGGTACTGCGGATTGAACCCAGGACCTCCTGGGTGCTAAGCATGCGCTCTACCACTTGAGCCATAGCCTTCCTCCCTCAGCTGCATTTGAACAGACTACCTCAACCTTCCTGAAGTACTTTCTTCACCTGGCTTCTGGAGCATCACGCTTTCCTGGTTCTCCTTCAGCCTCAGTGGCCACTCCATAGTTTCTTTTACTGCAACTTCTTTATCTTCCCTGTCTTCTAAATATTGATGAGTCCCAGAGCTCGATTCTTGGACCTCTCTTCTTTTCTCTCTATTCAATTCCTAGGTTACCTCAGCAAATCTCATTGCTTTGATCATCTTTATAGTGATGACGTCTAAACTTTATCTTAAGTCTCAGTCTTGTCTGAACTTCCACCTGGGCATACCTTATTTCCTGTGCTTTGTCTGGGTGTCCGATAGTGTCCCAAATGCAATAAAACCCCACCCTTTCCCCAGCCTTACTTATTTCAGGAAATAGTATTTCTGGTCACCTCTAGTCAATCGGAAATCTTGAAATCTTCCTTGACTCTCTTCTCTCACATCCCACATCCAACCCTTGAGCAAATCCTGTCAGCTCTATCTCAGTGTAGACCAGAATCTGAGCATTTCTCATCACCTGTACATGCTCTCACCATGGTCCAAGCCACGACCACCTCCTACCTTGATCTTTCTGCTTCCTCTGTGTGCCCCTACAATTTTTTCTCTACATAGCAATCAGAGTGATCCTTTTAAATTATTTCCCTGTTTTAAATTTTTTTAGTGGTTTTCCATCATAGTTAGAATAAAATCTAAAAATCCTTATTATATTTGGCCCCTGGCAACTGTTCTGACTTTATCTCCTACCACCTTCCATCTTCTCATCTATTCCAGCCACAGCAGGCTATTCGGTATTCTTTGAGCAGGCCAAGCCTTCACACTTGCTGTTCTCTCTGCCCGAAATGTTCTTCACCTTGTTATGCACATGCTTGTTCCTTCATTTCATTCAGTTCTCTACCCAAATGCCAGCTCATCATAGGAACCTTTGTGACCGTGCAGTTTGTTACAGCACACTGTTCCCCATGTCCTGCCCTCCCTCAGTCCCTATTCTTTATTTTTCTTTTTCTTTTATAGTGTTTATCACTACATAACATTTTTATACTTTTTATTTTTCTCCCCTTCTAAAAGGTCAGTTACATGAGAGCAAGGATTTTGTTTTTGTTCATTGCTGAATCTCTAGCACCTGGAATATTACCTGTGGCACTCGATGTTTGCTGAATGAATGAATTACCTTTTCTTCCATCAGATACACTGTTGTCTGACTGATACACATTTTAAAAAATCCTTGAAAAAAAGCAGTCTTTAAAAATTGTAGTAAAATACATATAACATAGTTTACCATCTTAACCGTTTTTAAGTGTGTAGTTCAGTGACATTAAGCACATCCACGTTGTTCTGCTACCATCACCAGGACCCATCTCCAGAACTCCTTTCATCTCGGTTAACTGAAACTCTGTGGTCGTTAAACAATTCCTATTCCTCTCCTCCCCCCAGTCCCCAGAAAACCACTATTTTACTTTCTGTCTCTATGAGCCATCTTTTAACTAGCCACCAAAAGATACGTTTTGAACATTTGGGGAGTCAAACCACCCCCCAGGTTTCTTTTCATGAGTGCTTTTTGACAGCTGCCCTGGGGTTAATTCTGTGCTAGGTACAGCGGGGGCACACACATGGTGTCCTCTACAGGTCTGCTCTGCTGTAGCTGGGAACTGCCTGTGTCTTACTACAGGTAATCATTCGGTATCTTGTTACTATGTTCTGACATTGAAAACAGATATGAGTTTGGTTATGAGTTTTATTTTTAATAGCCATTTTCTGCTTTCCTCTTCTTTTTGTATGATCATTCAAACTGATAGGAGAATATACATTTTTAGGTGAAATTCACATAACATAAAATTAACCATTTTAAAGTGAGTTCAAATTTGACACAACATTGTAAAATGACTGTAACTCAATAAAAAAATGTTAAAAAATAAAAATAAAGTGAGAAGTTCAGAGGCATTTAGGGTATTCACAATGTTGATACAACCTCTACTTCTACCTAGTTTACAAACATTTACATCACTCCGAAAGAAAATCCTATATTCATTAAGCAGTTGCTCCCTGTTCCTTCTTCCCCCAAGCCACTGGCAACCACCAATCTGTGTTCTGTCTCTATGGATTTACCTACTCTGGATATTTCATATAAATGAAATCATACAATATGCGACCACCTGTGTTTGGTTTATTTCACTTAGTGTAATGTTTTTCAGGTTCATCTACATGGTAGCATGTGTATCCGAACTTCATTCCTTTTTATGGCTAAATAATATTCCATTGTATGTATATACCACAATTTGTTTATCCATTCATCTTTGCTGATAGGCATTTGGGCTGTTTCTACCTTTGGCTGTTGTGAATAGTGCTGCTTTGAACATACATGTACATGTATTTGTTTTTTTCCTGTTTTGTTTATTTGTTTTTAGTGTGTTTTTTAATTGAAATTTTATTGATTTAATTCTAGATTCACATGTAGTTTTAAGAAACAATACAGAGGGCCTGGTTTCCCCAGGAGTCTTTTGTAAAACAGTAGTATAATAACACAACCAGGATATTGATGACATTGATACGCTCCACCTGTCTTATTCAGATTTCCCCTGTTTTACTTGCACTCATTTGTGTGTGTGTTTGTAGGTTTGTGTAATTTATCATTACAGTCAAGATACTGAGCAACTCCAACATCATAACAATATCTCCTGTTTCCTTTTAAAAACTCCCCCTCTACTGTGCCTTAACAATTTTCCTAACCCCCAGCAATCATTAATCTGTTCTCTATTTCTAAAATTTGTCTTTTCAAAACGTTATATAAATAGAATCATACAGTATGTAACTTTTTGGGATTGGCTTTTTTCACTCAGCATAATTCCCTGTAGATTCATCCAAGTTGTTTTGTGTAGTGACAGTTTGTTCCTTTCTATTGGATTGTTTTAAAGATCCCCAGGTGATTTCTTAGACTCATAGACATAGAATACAAACTTGTGGTTGCCAAGGGGGCGGATGGTGGGAAGGGATAGACGGGATTTCAAAATTGTAGAATAGATAAACAAGATTATACTGTATAGCACAGGGAAATATGCACAAGATCTTATGGTAGCTCACAGAGAAAAAAATGTGACAATGAATATATATATGTTCATGTATGACTGAAAAATTGTGCTCTACACTGGAATTTGACACAACATTGTAAAATGATAATAAATCAATAAAAAATTTAAAAAAAAAGATCCCCAGGTGATTTCTATGTGCAGCAAGGTTTAGAAACCACTGGCTTCATTTATTAGCCATATAGTTTAGAGATTCTTCCAGTCATCTGTTTACTTCTCAGGATTAATTAGATGACCTTCTAGTAATTCATTTTAGTTAGTTGAAAAAAAGATACTATATACATATAAGATATGACTGTAATCATTATTATTACTGTCATTTAGATTGTAAGGAAGCCATTTTTAAAGTAAAATATACCTAACATAAAATTTACCTTTTTAACCATTTTTAAGTGTGCAGTTCAGTGACATTAAGTACATTCACATTGATACACTACCATCACCACCATCCATCTCCAGAACTTTTTTCATCTTCCCAAACTGAAATTCCATATTCATTGCATCCTTCCCTGCAGCCCCTGGCAACTACCATTCTTCTTTCTGTCTCTATGAATTTGACTACTCTAGGTACGTTATATAAGTGGAATCACACAGTATTTGTCCTTTTCTGAGTGACTTATTTCAATTAGCATGATGTCTTGAAAGCTCATTCATGTTGGAGCATGTGTCAGAATTTCCTTCCTTCTTATGGTTGAATAATATTCTATTGTATGTATCTACTACATTTCATTTATCCATTCAACCATCAATGGACACTTGGATTGCTTTCAGCTTTTGGCTATTGTGAATAATGCTGCCATGATCGTGGTTATACAAGGAGCCAGTTTTAAGTGATGAGCTGATGGTCTGTTCTCCCTCTGTAAGATGCTTATGTGGATAAATTGCTTGGTCTTTATGGATAGGTTTTAGTGTATCTCCCCAGATGAGCCAGTACCTTTCTTTAGTGATTGATCTTCCTTTTACAAAATATGGCAAAAAAAATTAGGTACTGTTCCAGTTGCTCTCTTGATTTTCTCAAAGGTGGTGGTAGAATTATTTTACTGTATCAGTTCTCTTGCCCAGGCTGTTGATCAATCCCTCAGAGGCTGTGTTCTACAAATATAGTAACAAAAGTCTCTGTATATCTAGCAGGGAATAAAGGACTCATTAGTTTAGTTTAGTTTAACTCCAAAATACTACTAGGACAAAACTGTAAGCTTAAAAACCAACCTGAAAAAGGCTCTCTGTTCATATTATTTTACAAGTTGTAAAGTAATGAGATTGAATATAGAAGACGCATTAGGATCCTTTGAGTTCTGCCTGTGTTACTCAGATAGGCCATTTAACTCTATTTCTATGCATGGTCTTAGTTTTTTGTATTACAGGACCTAGTACCTGAGCTGAGAGCTCCCCTCTTGACTTTCCATTCTTAATGAACCACTTTGTCTTTTGACCTCCTTGAAGAGTATACTTTCTTACAGGCAATTCAGACAGATGTTTTTACAAGAGAATCAGCTGTGTTAGTAAGTGGACATTTTTCGGAGGCAATCAACTTTGGAAAGGTAGTGATTACTTATTTTAACATTGTATTTCTGACTGCGTAATATTACCCTAACCCTAACCCTATCTATTTTTATGGCATCGGATAAATGAATTTTCATATATGTGTCTATTTCACTTTGATCTTTTTGACACTTTTCCTTAGTTTTTCACATACAATAAAAGTCAGTTGAAATGAAAAGAGGCTTAGCCACATCACTAAAAAGGAGAGAAACTTTAAACTTTATTGGTTTCTTTGGGTTTCAACAACTGGGCTGCATCCGTGTGTGTTGGAAGTACAGGAATGCCCTAAAAATGGAGAATCTAATGAGATAATATAATTTTAGAGCCAAATCTACAGGTGAAGCATAAGCAACTTGTTCTTCTCATCTAGAGACTTGTCCATCGCACTTAGCAGTTTGAGAGGCTGAGAGTAAGTCCACAAATCTTTTTTCTTTCTAGATCTTCATCTGCTGGTGGATGTGGCCTGCAAGCAGGAGCACTTTCCGAAGGAGGAAGAATTAAAAGAGTGAGGAATGGATGACAAATGTGACATTGTGCACTGGCTGTAGCTGGAGGCAGACTAGCCTTGCACGTGACACACTGTTGGGATTTTTTTAGTTCTGTTAAGGAAAAAAAAAGTATTTTTGTTTTGTTAATTGAGAATTCTGTTGATTGAGAATTGGGAATTTGGTATTTACCACAGCTGTTCAGTTCAGATTATTTACCTTGACAAACTATTAAACATCTAGCAGCCTTTTTTTGTTTTTTTTGTTTCTGCTGCCCAGATCCCTTTCAAATGAAAAGTCCTGGCCTTCTGTTACAGTCGAGAAGCATCTAAAAACAGCTGCATCTATGGTACCAGAGAATAATGTGTGTGAGTGTGCTGTCGCCTTGCCACTCTCAAACTGTAGTCAGCACGACTCTAGTGGGGAGTTGAGTCTGTTTCAAGTCTCTGTGTGATCCTTTTAGAGGAGATTATGTGAGAAACGAAGGCATGTGAGGTCACCAAGATCACAGGTCTAAATGGTCAGGAATTCCAGGGAAGAAACTCTGGGAAAGAGCTAATTTTCTAAGTGATTAACCAGGAAATGCTCTTACTTCCTAACACAGCATTCTGTTTCAAGAGCAGGGCATCTGGACTTGGACCATCCATCACACTTAACAGCCCCTGATTATTTCTTATTGATGGGAGCATTCTTCTATTTTCATATCTTTCTTTTATGTTCATGATACATTATCGTAAATGGTAAGAAGATTTTGTTAATATATCACTTATTTAATATATCTCCTAAAGAAAAGTATTTTTAACTTGTTTAATATAATTGTATTTATAACTGCTGCTAGATTTAAAAGTTTTAAAGCTTTCTATTTTTATTAATATTGCAGGATAGAAGGATAAAGGATGCACGTGTAATATTTTTATTTTGAAGGGGAAATGTACAATGTGTGAACAAAAACATTAAGAGGTTTAACACAGTGTTTTCTTATTTTAGATTTTTACATTCAGTAAGTATAAATTTTCATCTAAAAAAGATGCTGTGTGCAAATTTTGGGAGAAACTGTTTGGTAGTCATCTAATAGAGGCTATACCTCTGATATTTTTAGTAGTTTATGTACGGCTTAAGCTTCTAAGAGAATTTTGGGTAGTGGGATAGACTGTAACATTCTAATCTTGGTTGTTAGGAGAGGTATCTTGGACATCCAGTTTCTGTGGTTGATCCCTCACTTGCTCATCCGATGACAGCAAGAATCTGATCTAAAGTTTTTTAAATTGGCTAGACTCTCTTATTGGATGCTGCTTCAGTTTCCCTAATATGCTCTGCAGAAGCAAAAGGAAAGCCTAGGAATATGAAACTTGTTAAAAAGGCACTTAGGGATATAAGTACTCTTCCAGTCATTGTGTGTGTGAGAGTTCATTTCTCAAATTGCGTTGTGCCTTCCCAATGATGTCAAACTCTGGAAATGTTACAGAGATAGTCGTTTTTTTTTTTTTGTAAGAGGATGAGCTCTGTATTGGTCTGCAGTGACTCAGCTTAGATATGAAAGTAGATTCTGAAAAGTGACCTGTTTGGTCTGTCTGATTAGCCTAGTTGATGTCCATGTGATGGGCATTTATTCATCTTTATGAGCAAGGTTGGAAAGATGAATAGATTATCAAGACTCTTACATCTTTTGGCCAGACTGTGTATTTTGGCAGAGTATGTGAAGAGGAGACCCAATTTCTAAATGAAGGAACTTTGCCTTTTCTCTGTACTGTTGAAAAGCTGACATACTGTGTAGGTGATATTCCTTCCCTGAAATATACCTTTCTTGGCTTTGTATACGTTGGAAGAGAATTATCTTTTGAGGAACATGTATCAAGCAGGAACCTTGGCATGGATTTGGTGTCAGTTGTTTTAAGGCTCAATTAATGAAATGCCTTTATCAGCTTTCCAGACTTTTTTTATGTATGAATGCAGCAGACCAAGGAGCTGGATCTCCTGCTACCTGTCAACTAAAGCTGTCATTACTGACTCGGGCAAAGTGGTAAAAGATAAAATAAAATCTCTGCGTGAATTAGCCAGTAGGTTCTGACACATGCTATAACAAGGTTCCTGACTAGCACTTCAGTATTTCAGCACCTTAAGCACAATAAATTTCAATCAGTCAACAATAAAGTGAGTATTTCAACTAGACTTGTTGTCTTGCCTGCTTTCACTGTTTGGTTGGTGATCGACAGAAACCTCAGTCATCGTGACTACTAATCGTCACAGTAAACTTCAAAAGAGAATCTGTTTTTCAAAGAATCTGACTTTAAAAAAATGTCCTGAGTTTTTTTCATTTACACTTGAATAGAGAGTGAATCTTTAAAATGCCATTAAGCATAAGGACAATTCTTGGACATGTTTATATAAGCCTAGTTTTTTGGAAGAGGATCAAGGTCTTCAGTAACTTTAGTGAAGGTAGATCCTGAAGGGTGATCTGTCTCACGTGTACGATTAGGTAGTCGATGTCAGTGAGAGGGGCTTTTCATTACCATGGTGATGGCATGTTTATGACATCTCTGTAGAAGCTGTGGTCTATCAACCCCTGATGGTTAACTCCAAAACTCTGAAGCCAGAGAATAATTTCTCTTGCTTATCAATTCTGGTGACTTTGCTTGTCAACACTGTGTAAATAAATACAATGTATCAGTGAACTAAACTATATAGAGTTATTTGGTTTGATCCTGAGTAGCTCAGAGTTCCCACGCTCATGATACATATTATCATCATTCTCAGATCTTAGAGTTTCCTCAAGAGAGGGCACCCACACCTATGTTTTCTCTCTTTCAACTAAGTTTCCGTATTAACTCTTAGGTTTGGGTGTCTTAATTCCTTTGCAAGTTTCAAGCAGGAGTAAGGGAGGCAAAGTTAACTAGTAGGTTATTTTTTGTTTAGTTTAACTTTAAAGATATTTTTACATATATCAGATATATGGTAATATATATTTTGCATTATTTATGCTGTACTGTTACATGGCGTACATAAAATAAAAATATAAAACCATGGGCAGACTTTAAAAAATTCTCTCCTGGAGAATTAGATCAACTCGTTCTTTAGGAAGGGAGCTATAAAAGGGCTAAACTTGCATTATGTTTTTAAGGTCCAACCAGTAAAGAAAAAGTGCTAAGTTAAGAATTTTAGAATTTATCTCTCTGTCCTAGATGTTATTAGGTCTGAAATAACCAAAACTATCCCCATAAACCCTCTTCAGGGTTTAGAAAAAATTCTCCAGGTGAATAGGTCACTCGTACGTTTTGCTTTCAGAGCGATTATGTCATTTAGTCTTTGCAAGAAACCTATAATGCAATTAGTATTCTCCACATTTTACAGGTGATCAATTTGTACAATTCTTTTGCACAAATTAAAAATTGTTTTAAATGTTATATTATGTGCTTTTTACCACAATAAGGACGTAAGTCTTAACCATTTTTAAGTGTAGTGTTAACCATATTCACATTGTTGTTCATTTGTACAATTTGGAAAGATTATTGGCAGCAGGTCAAAAATAAAATGTTTGACCACAGTCAACTATAATCTGGTAAATTTGAAAATTCAAATTTTAGGAACATACATTAGAAACTTTTATTTCTAACGACAAGTTTACTAGAAGGGTTGTAGTTCATGAATGTGGTAATTAGCCAAAAATCAGTTTTCTTTTTGCCTACATTCTTCTTATTAAGCATATATATTTTACCCTTTTGTTTGCATTTATGAAATAGACTTACTTGCAGCCTTACATTGAAAGCCCAGGTCCGATCCATAGTATTATTTCACCTCCCAAGGATGTGAGAAGAAAATAACAGATTCCAAACCTCTGACATCACCTAGTCTAAAAGCTTCATACAGGCACAGTTTAGAAGAGAGCTACTAAATTTAAATTTGTAAAGACTGAAGAAAAACTGTGCGTAAAATGGACAGGAGTTCTTGCCAGAGTGGCAGACATAAAACAGCAATAAATCAGTAAGAACTACAGCACAGGATCCCTTTATTCTGGCTTTGTGCCTTTCACAGACACTAAAACCCGGAAAGAGCAGAAATCCCTTTGAACTTATATTTGCAAAGCCTCGGGGCCATTTTTTTTAATCTTCTGGGTTTCCTTTATTGTTCTCTCTTGATTTCCTCATACCACCATCTATGTCTCTTGAGTGCAGAATCTGCTTAGACGTCTGTCTGAGTGGCCTCGATTTGCATGTGGAAGCTTGCTTACCAAGGAAAGGTATTGAGGATTGCATTGGCTGCAGTTTGCTTGTAGCTCAATAGAGGGAGTAGAGGAGCTGAGACAAGAGAGCCCAGGGACGAGTCTGGTGGAGTTAAGTGTGCGCGCACCGTTCCCTAGCCAGCCGGGAGGAGGAGGGGCGGGGTGGGGGTGGCTGCCTCCAGCTGCTCCACCCTCACTTTGTGTCAGCAGGTAGAGAGCGTGATTGCAGTCCCAGGGGAGGGAGTCAGAGCTAGAACACCAATTACAAACCACAGGCTTCCTCCTCTAGGGAGCTGATCCAGAATTGTCTTTCTGGAAGGGAAGCACTCGAATCCTTCCGAACTTTCCAAGTCTATCCATGATTCAGAGATATTGCCTTCTCCCTCTGGGATTTTCTCTGTTCCTGGTAGTGAACTGTTTGCTGATGTATTTGCTACTTTGCGTCTTTTCTCTTTCAGGATTTGATCATTTTTATACGCTGTTCGGGGAGAAAAAGGACTTTTGTTAGAAAGGAGATTTCAGAAATGGTTTTGGATTCTCTAGAAGTGTTTTTAGAGTTCTTGGGGACAGTAGCTCTAACCTTGGAGTAAGTTTCTGCCTTTGACCTGCATGGATTATTTTTTCAGGCTGCGGAATTTCTCGGCACCTACCTGCAGTGTGGGGCACTTGGTTTGGTTGCAGAGTAAGAAGGTGGAAGAATGAGCTGTACTTGGTTAAGCAGTTGAAACCTTTTTTTGAGCAGGATCTATAAAAGCATAATTGAATGTGTTTCACCCCCGTGGATTCCAGTGGGCCCGACAGCGCAACAGGTTTGCAGATTTCTTTTGAAATTCTTTTTTTTTTCTCCCTCTGCCTCAGCAAAAGAAAAGAATCTATATAACAGGTTCATGTTCAGTTGCTTGGCTTTTCAGCACTTATTCTGAAGACTTAATAAGATTTTTTAACTTGACCTCTGAACACAGTGGGCTTTGTGGTTGAAGTGCATTTATATTTACTGAAGGGTGCACATTTTGAAATCTTAGAATAAGAGTTTG